TATATATATATATATATGTCATATAAAATCTTTGCTCTCGACCTCAATAGTGCTCAATAAGTCCAACTTGGCGTCCAATGTAGTAAAAATAAACATTTTCTGCAAAATCATGAATTTGCAAACCAAAGTATCCAATACACATAATTACATTTCAATCGATAAAAAGCATTATAGTATACACACTAATCATTAACAAGGTGCAAATTACACATATTAAACACACTCAATCAATATCCCCATACAATTATTAATGCATTCCCATAGGATTCTCACAAAAACTCACGGGGTAAATCAAGATTCACAATTTTGTACCGAACACACAAAATTAAAGGCATTAGCATTTACACAACATCAAATAGAGTACCAAAGAGTAATAGAGAAGATAAAGACGCATTTTTTGGGAAAACCCCTCACATACAAATAGATAACAGAGATAGTATTAGGAATCAATCTCACTACCCATCATACATCCCACGTCCAGAGTGAGACTACTCATTTCCCCCTTTCTTTAATGAGCGATAAAATATGCACATGAATCTTTGGGGTTTCTTCTATGAGCTTTAGTTCTCCCGACTCATTAAAACGTAAATGCACGTTAAATTAAAAAAAAAAGTAATGAGCATAAAATGAAAACTAATCAATTAACTCCTCTTAAAACATAACTCCCTCTTAACCCCATAATTAAAAACAATTAACTCAAGTTACAAATTATTCCCTCAAAATAATTAAATCATTTAATAATAAAACTTTATAATATACCCATTAAAGTATAAATAATTAAAACAGTTATCAAAATCAATCCAAATATTTATAACAAAATACAATAATTAATAATAAATAAAAATATAATTTTAATAGAAAAATTGGGATGTTATAATTTTTCATTCCTTTTTAAAATTTCGTCCTTGAAATTACTTATCACAAGCAAAGACGTATATGTTTCACGTATCTAACGTGCCAACTCCCAAGTAGCACTTTTCTTAGTATTCCCTCCCCAAATGACATTGACTAAAGAAATTTCCTTAGATCTCACTTGTTTCACCCTCTTATCCTAAATCCTTGAAAGAATAATTCCATAGGTGAGGTTATTCTTCAATTGGATGTGGGATTCAACAATATGGGATTATACACATATTTTCTAAACTGAGAAACCTGAAAAACATTATGCAAGTTTAAAAGAGATAGCGGCAAGGCAATTTGATAGGTTATATCACCAATCCTCTTAAGGGTTTATTAAGGACCAGTAAAATGTGGAGTAAGTTTGCAGGACTTAAGTGCCCTACCAACTTGAGTCCAAGAAGTTACCTTTAGGAATACATGTTATCCTTCTTTAAACTCAAGGTCTTTCCTTCTCTTACCATGGTAGCTCTTTTGCTTACTCTGAGTTGTCGTCATCCTATTGCAAACTTTAACATGGAACTCTTCCTTAGTTTTGCCCAATATAAGGGTATTCTACGATGCCCAATATAAGGCTATTATATCTAGACTCTAACATGGAACTCTTCTCTTACCATGCCCTTAGACTGTACTTCACATATGTGGCGTCATCTTGAGTTAGGGAGTAGGGATAAAGATAGTAAGGTTTTGTGTGTAATTTGCCTGTCAACCTTATGGTCTGTCTGGTAGGGATGGCAACGGGGCGGGGCGGGTACGGGTTTCATGATACTCGTCCCCGTCCCCGCAAGTTAAACTCATCCCCATCCTCGTCCCCATACCCGTCGGGTATAGATTTTCATCCCCATCCCCGTCCCCGTCGGGTATCGGGTATACCCGTACCCGTCAAATTTTTTTATTTTTTATTTTTTGTAAAAAAAATGATATTTTTAAATTATTTTTTTATTATATTATAATTATAATTAGGTTATTTATTTATCTCATATTATAATAAATAATCACACATAAAAAATATTAAATTTTTTTAA